TTCCTCCCTGTTCTCCTCCCACCTCCTCCGCCTTCTCATCTAGTCCTACATCCTCCTGTTTCTCTCTCCCTCCCCCTTTCTCTTCCTCCCTGACTCTCCCTCACTTCCCCCTCTCCCTCTCTCCCTCTCTCCCTCTCTCCCTCTCTCCCTCCCTCCCTCCCCGCCTCTGGAGGTAGGCCCTTGTCTATCTTCAGTTTCTGCTCCTTGGGGAACTTCCTGTGGTATCCCACCCTCCATCTGTGCTTGCTTCTCTTGCTTAGTAGACTTTATATTACAAGAAAGATTGAGTGAAGACATACCCAATCACAGTACTGCTTGGTTAGCATAACAAGGAAACCCCATTTCCACATGGCCACATGACCACCGTCAGTCCCTCGCTGTCTACCAGGGCAGGTGGCACAGCCCCACCGTGTCCCCACAGCCGTGCATCTCAGTGGAAGCAACATGGCAGGTGTTTGTTGTGTGGTTTTGAGTCACCGACCTCTTGGTCAGCAGCCAAGCACATTTACTTCTGTGCCACCAGGATTGTTACTGCCACACTGGGGTCATATCTGCAAGTCAGTACTTAACTCCCCGAGTTTCCACCCAGTCCACTCAGTCTGAGTGCTGTGACCCTGCAGTTGGCCCCCCTTGCGGGGAGGGGTTGGGTTGGCCTGTGCCCAGCATGCTAACTGGGCATCCAGGGACCATACAGCAAAGGTCAGAAACACCAAAGGGGTTCCATGACGTTTCAGTCGTTAAGATTGTCCTCATCCACGGCAGCAGTGGATACTTGCTGTGGCTCACAGAAACTTGGGGGTCTGTGTTACACCCCACTGTCCGAGGATCTGTGGGTCCCTTGGTCACTGCCCTTGCTCGGTGTCTGTTTTCTGCAGCTTTACCAGAACCTCTGGGCTGCCGTACTTCAGGGGAACCAGGTGCTCGAGAGACCATCATGGTGGCCCAAGTTTTCCTGTGAGAAACTTGAGTTCAGGAGCCTGAAGCCAAAGCTGTAAGGATGCCAGCGCGCTGCCTGCCAGACTTCCACCCGAGACTCCCGCCTCAGATTCCAGCAGTCCGGAAGACCCTGCCGCTTCTCGAATGTTCTCTGTGTGATTACTGCGGCTGCGTGTCCCCTCACGCCCAGGAGGGGCTCTTGTGCATTCCCTGGGGTCCTCGTGGCTCCCAGGAACTCAGAAGAGCAAGTGGAATAGATATCTATGTATTTTTAAAATTTTAACAAATTTTATAATCAGAACTTTGCCTATCCTAAGCCACTTAGAGGATCCAGCCTTCCAGCGGGCATTGTCGGTTCCAGGAAGAACCCCTGAACACAGAGTGTTTCTGACCATTAGGGTGCCCTGCGTTATGTTGAGGTGCCGGCTCCAACTGTAAACAAGGCTGCTCCCATGGAGGAATTGTCTATCTGAGGGTCACCAAGCTCTGACAATGCCAATGTGATCCATTTAGAACCAGCTGCAGCCCAGCGCCCGCTTCCCCAGGGAGCCTGGGAGGCTCACCTCCATGCTCTGGCCCTGCTGTGTTTCCTCCCTAAAGTGCCAACAATAAACCTGGACGTGCCTGCTACCAAGAAGGATGCCAGTCATAGCAGGGGCCAGCCCCTGAGCCCACCACCCTGACTGCCTCCATCCCAGAGCCCAGCTCTGCCCCATCTCTCCCTACCTGCGTGAGGTGGACCCCACCTGGCCCAAGTAGTGACCTGTTCAGTCAGCAGTGGGGGCTGGAGCCCAGGCCCCAGGGTGGCTGCCTTAGGACAGGCCGGAGTTGATTGGCCTCCAGGCCGGGAGGTGGGGTACAGGGACAAGAGCTCTGTGCACTGCTGGAGCAATGTAGCCTCAGGCTGGGCCAACCTTAGGGATCCGGGACACAGAGAAAGTGGTCTAGCTGCAGCTGAGAGTTCCCTGGGGCCCAGCTCAGCCAGGAGTGGAGGCTGCTTGGACCCTGAAGCCCCCACAGACAAGCCTGCTGGGTGGTCCCTATGCAGAGGTTCCATAGTTTCAAGTCCCACTGGGGGAGAGAAGGCCCCCTCAGGGCTCTGGCCTGGACAGTCCTGTGCAGTCGGGTGCCCAGCGACCTGCGAACATCCCTAGTTCTGTTGCAGTCTTGCTCCGAGACCATAGGCCGCTGCTGCAACTGCCCCAGGGCTGCTTCTCAGGCTTTGATCCTACATCCCGGAGGACAGTGGCCATGGTTAAGGACTTGGCGCTCTGCTGGCTCCCAAGACACCCCGCCTGCAGCCCTTAGTTAGTGGGAGAACTGACCTCAGCCAGCCTCAATCTCGCCAGACCGCCAGTACAGCCAGGAAAGTGACTCTGTCCACCTGGTGACGTTTTGAAGACAAAGGCCTCCATCCCTGCTCGGACAGACAGGATTGGTGATGACCGAGTCAGGCAGTGACACAGTTTACCCACCCACCCTTGCTGGGCATCCCCATCTAGCTGTTGGCACTGGTCACAGACTAGCGTTTACTTAACCTCCAGCTCCTGGAAGGAGGCTGAGCCCAATTGGACTGTTTGCTTTGCAGAGAAAACCCTGTCTGATCTTATGAACAGGACAAGTGGGGTGCAGAAATACTGGGGCCAGCTCCTTCATCCCTTCCCAGGGTGGGCTCGGGGTACACCTGCTCCGTTTGTGGGAACCCGTGCTGTGGACCTGGAATGTATTTGAAGTGGCTTTTCTATCCAGTCTTAATTCCCACCAAGTGAGTGGGTGGGACCATGCAAATAAGGTGTACAGGGCTCTGAGGCTGGGATTGGTTAGTTTTAGCCCCCAGTTAGGCTTAAAAGGAGCCATGTAGAGAAGGAACGGAAGCTCCCAGGACCATCAGGAGGGAAGAGTGTGAGTTGCATGTGAGGTCCCCACCTAGAAAAGTAGCAGAGGTGACGTTGAGAAGCAACGGTAGGCACAGTGGTCTGGAGACAGATTGGCTTCGGGCTCTGGACCCAGGGACTGAGTGAAGCTGAGTGTCTGTGGGCAGGATGCTGGCTTGTAGAATGTGCCCTTTAGGCATTCACAGACTGGGTAAAAGAGGTCTGTAACATGTGCTCCAGCCGGGCAGAGGCCAAGGGACCACATGACTGAGAGGTCAAAGACGAGAGTGAGGCGTGTCTGCAAGGTGGCAGACAAGATGTTCCTGACTGGAGAACCGCTGTGTCCTGAGATGGTTTGGGTCCTGAATTGTTCCCCGTTCTCTTCCCTAATAAACCCCATCATCATGAGTATGGTTATGAGTTCTGTGTGGCCATTGCAGTGGATTCTCGAACCCAGATGTGCAGCAGAGAGTGCTGAGGGAGGGGTGAGGGGTGGCTGGTGTCAGAACAGGGGAAAGAAGGTTGTAGGGTGGAAGCAGGTCTGACCTCTGTCTGCTTCGGAGGAATCGGCCTTGGTCTGATTTTGAGTTTGATTCTCTTTCCCTTTGTGAAGTGGGGGGAAGTCAGACAGGGTCTCCACATGGTTTTTGCACTTGCCCTAACTTGGAATTGTTCACAAGGCTGATGAGTGAGTATAACGTCATTGAGGATGGTTTCCCTTTGTTACCCTCCATAAAGGTCCTGTCCTGTCTTCTCTGCCAGCCGTCGGAGCTCGTGTGGCAGCACATAGGACAGGCTGGGGGCTCCAATTCTAACCCCGTCACAGCTGGGCGGCCTGCCCACACCTTTCTCTGCCCACTTCTCACCTGTGTGCCAGGAGAGGCACCAATCTGGAAGTTCCTGAGGTCAAGAGCAGGTCTGAATGGCCTCGGGTTCTCTAGCTCCCAGCACAGGGCTACACACAGAGAAAGCATGTGCCTGGTGCTGAGAGAATGAGGGAGTAAACTATTGAAGATGAGTGCATGAACAATAAAGTACTGATTGAGTGAGGTGAGCGGATGAACAAATAAGTGATTGAAGAATGAAAGTGAATTAAGTGAACAAATGAGTGAGGAAGTGAATGAGTCTGAACAAAATCAATGAGTGGATGAATGAAATGAGTGAGTGAATGAAGAGAACAGCAGAGGGGGTATCTAGTGTTCAGTGTCCACCATGGCATGCAGCCCCTAGAGGAGAGGGAGGGACTAGGCTGCCACAACCCACCCCCCTCATTGGGGAGGGGCTCCTGTCCTAATGTCATGTGAGTGACCGCTGGGCACATGTATAGAATGAGTCTTGCTACCTTGTGTCCTCTTGGATGTTTATTAGCAAACATGCTTCTGGAGATTTCTTCCCTCCATGCTCCAGGTGAGCCCTTCTAACCTAGAAGCTGAGACTGGGCTGAGGTCTCATATACAACGCTGTGATTCCCTGACATGCGTGTGTCCGTGTGCCTGAACATGAGCACATACCACAGTCCAAGGACAGTCATGCTGTGGGACACAGTGCAAAGCCTGGGGATGGTGTGTCCTCATGAGAACCTTCAAATCTCTGTGGCCTCCATGTGGTGGTTCAGAACCCCCTCATCTGTGTGTGCTCCCGGCTCTGGTCATACGGCCACAGGATTAACAGCACAAAGATCTCAGGACAGACAACTGGTTCAGAGACCTGCTCACAGACCGAACCTTGCAGGCAGGAGGCTTGGGCTCTAGTTGCGTTCCTGCAGAAACCTCGGTGTTGGTGAGGCTATTGGGACGATGGTGGTGTGGATGTGGTGGTGGTAATGGTGATGGTAGTGATGATGGTAATGATGGTGGTGGTCACAGCTCTGTGGGTGTGTACACCCCCCCCCTCCCCCCAGCTGCCTGGCAGCTCACAGACGGGGTGGGAGCCAAGGCATCTGGATGACAAAAGCCCTCTGTGGATATGAACGAGGAGGACTTCCTGTTAGCCTCAGAACCCTCTGGTCTGTGTTTACCCACCATCTTCCCACAGCCAGCCTGGAGATTCCCTGCCCCCCGCTGCACTCCCAAACCACATCAACTCCGACAAATCCCACACCATTGAAGTGACCTCAAAAACTCTAGGATGCTGAGCCCTGAGAGGCACAAGAGAGTGTCCACACCCAACACCAAGACTCCCCCACCTTCTGACCCTCCCCTCTGCCCCCTCCCCTGCTGAGCACCTCCTCTGCCAGCCTTTGTGAACACACAGCTGGCTTTGTGCTGGCCACTGAACTGTGAAGACTCACGGACATGCTGCTGACCACTCTCAGGTCTCACCGTGCTCTCAGAAGGTCATGTGACCACAGTCATGAGTGAGCCCTCCCCTGCCCCGTGGCGTCGCCTGACCACTGGGCCTGCTTGTGTGGCTGTCAGACCCACTGTGAGACCCACATGCTCTGACCTCCCTGACCAGGCACTGGGGTGGTGCACTGAGGGACCCAGGTCCAGCAGAGTCAGTGCTCGAGGCCAGGACACCAACTGCCTGCCTTTGTCCTGCGGCCACTCAGATTCTGACCAATTCTCACAGCTGCCCGGACAACCCTTCCCCTTGCAGCAAAACTCCGGACCTCCTGCTCCTTCACAGGAGTGACCCTGCCCTCCCCATTCTGCCCCCAAGTGCTCACGCCCAGCCTGCCGAGCCCCTTCCCAACCTGCTGTCCCTTCCGCCCGTAGTGCCCCTCCCCAGGGTACTCCCTGACTTCCAGTCACCATTGCTGGCATCCAGCAGGGACTGGCTACACACAGGCCGAGTGTCAGCAGCTGGGGCCCCTGGGTGCCTGTGGTATCTGTTGTGGTTGTTATGAATTGCCCTCGTCTCTCAGGGTGACGCCATGTATGTCCAAATAGAACTGTGCTCCTCAGGGTTTTGAAGGTCAGGACCTTTCAGAAGCACCTGTGGATAGGTCTGAGCCACCAGCCTTCTGCCTATTAGTCATAAGCCCTTAACCATTCTCACCTCCCAGGGCTGGGAATCCACACGTGTGATCTTGTAACTTTGCACTGGCAGAGGCAGATGGAGCCGTTTTCCACAGAAACACAAACCTGAGCAAACACACCATGGCATATCATCTCACGGAATAGGGGCATGTGTGTGGGAATGTATGTACACACACATGTGAACAGGTGTGTGCAAGTGTGTATGTGTTTGCATGGGTGCCCTGTGTGAGCATGTGTTTATGTGTGTCCGTGTGTGTGTCCTGTGTGAGTATGCATGTGTTTGTGTGTGTCCCTATGTGAGCACATGTGCATGTGTGTTCGGGTGTGTCCTGTGTGCGTGCATATGTGTTTGGGTGTGTCCCTGTGTGATTATGTGTGCATGCATGTTCACGTGTGTTCCTGTGTGAGTACATGTGAGTATGTGTGTTTGTGTGTGTATACCTGTGTATGTGTATTCTTGTATGTGTCCTGTGTGAGCATGCATATGTGTTCGTGTGTGTGTCCCTGTGTGCGCATGTGTGTATGTGTGTTCACATGTCCCTGTGTGAGTACATGTGCATATGTGTTTGTGCGTGTGAGCATGTGCATGTAGGTGTGCTTGTGAATGCACCTGTGTGAGTATGTATGCATATATGTTCACTTGTGTGTTCCTGTGTGAGCATGCATGCATGTGTGCACTGGTATGGGTGTATGCATATGTGTGTTCACATATGTGTCCCTGTGAATATGTATATGTCCTTGTTTGTGCACCTGCATGAGTATATGTGCATATGCATTCACCTGCATGTCCTGTGTGAACATGTGTGTGTATGTGTTTGTGGGTGCCCCTGTGTGGGTATGTGTGCATAGTGTTCAAGCATGTGTCCCTGTGTGAGCATGTGCATGTATATGTGCTTGTGTGTGC